CTTCAGAAGTGTCGTAAACATAAAACCTGATCAAGTGACCATAATAAAAGTGTCACATGAAGCATGGCTGCCATGGGATCCCTTGAAAAATTAAAACAAAAAGGATCTTTCTTTCTTGTATAAATTAGAGTTGCTAATGTTATTCACTTCCCCCAAAATTCTTCATATGAAGTTTTAAATAACTGAAGTTTAGAACACAGTATTTTGATAAGAAGACAAAACTGACATTTACCTTAGAGGACCCTAATTAATGGAACAGTGTTATATACTGATTTCTTGAGATTTACCTAAGAGGACCGACACTGTTCCATTAATTAGATATACTGATTTCTTGAGATTTACCTTAGAGGATCGACACTGTTTCATTAATTAGATATACTGATTTCTTGAGATTTACCTTAGAGGACCAACATTGTTCCATTAATTAGATATACTGATTTCTTGAGATTTACCTTAGAGGACCGACACTGTTCCATTAATTAGATATACTGATTTCTTGAGATTTACCTTAGAGGACCGACACTATTCCATTAATTAGATATACTGATTTCTCGAGATTTACCTTAGAGGATCGACATTGATTCATTAATTCAATATATTGGTTTCTTCCTATACCCAAGAGTCGCAGACCTAAATGAAATAGAAAAACCAAGATAATTTTTTTCAAACTTTAATTTTCAACAATGTTTTTAGTGTTTGCCATATGAAGAAATATCTGATTTAATACTCAAAATATTATTCTCAAGTAGCAGAAATTCAACTAATTGCAAACTTATGTTGCTGACTGAAAAGCAACAAGCTACTTCTAGTTAACCCTATGTGCAGAAGTGGGGGTCAGAGTGCACACCCTAACCTTGTACAGAGTGTCATTCAACATGGTATTATGAATTTGATGTCAGAGTTACCACGTTTTCTGTTACCCTACACTCCTAAAATGTAGTTTTAGATCAGTAAGTTTAAATTTAGAATTCCTATCTAAAAATATTTTGATTGATAATAGTGGTAAACTTTATAACATTTTATAATGCATTGACACTAGCAATAAATATCTGGGGAAAATCATTAAAATAAAAAGACATATCAACATCTATAATGTGGGAAGTGTAAACGTATAATAAGCAAAGTAAGTGAAAGCTGGTAATAAGCTTTTTTTTTTTAAACTAACAGTTAAAATGTAATATTTTGATACTTACAATCTGCAGCTGTAAAATTGGGAAGTGAATCATAGCTTTTTTCTTGTTCCATCAAGTCCTAACAAAAACAAAACAAAAACATGGGTGAATTAATGTTAAAAATATCTTAAATAAACTTACATTTCTTATTGGAACATTCAGAGAAATAGTTGAAATATAAATCTGTACTCTTACATACAGGAAATCTAAGCTATTTAACTCTTCCCCCCCCTCCCATTACGACTGGGACAAATGTTTCCCATTGTCATTCAAAATTACTGCTCATGACGTATGGGAGTAAAACGAGTTGCAAAGTATTTATTGACATCCCACCTAATGTTGATATATGGTTTCCATCAATGTTTTCCACTCAGTAACCAACAATGCCCACATCGCTAGAGTGGTGAGTATTAACCCTAATTACTATGTAAATATGTTTGATGCACTAACTCGGATAGCTTAGAAGATAGTGAAAGTGAGTCAAGTGGTGATCAAATCATGATGATGAAGAAGCAATGAGACAAAAGGTTGTTAACTGTCCATCTAGTGATGATAGTCAAGATGATGAACCTGGACCCAGCAAAGGAAGGCATAAACAGCATTGACAGTGGGAAACATCTGTTCCAGTTGCAGTGTGAGGGGGGGGGGCACTGGGAAACATTTGTTCCAGTTGCAGTGTGAGGGGGGGGGGAGCACTGGGAAACATTTGTTCCAGTTGCATTGTGAAGGGGGGGAGCACTAGAAAATATACATCCCAGCTGCAGTGAATAGGTTAAAAAGCAATGCAATAAGAACAGTTATCACTGTTAAAGAGAAGAAATATCTCAACTATTATGCAGTGGAAAATTATGCTTTGAAGGCTTGTGTCATGTATTACCAGACTTCATTTTATGTCTCACAAATAGTCACTGATGTAAGTTTCATTTCAACCACAACATTGTATGCTATAATACAGCAGCCTAATAAACTTTTGATGTTGAACAAAAACCCTTGAAAAGTTTTACTAGACATTATGAAAGTCAATAAAAAATATGATGTGATAATAAACTATTATTAATTACACTGTGTTTTAGTAGCACACTTGTTATCCAATAAGCTATTCTTGTTATAAAAATTGTTGATCAAAAAATATGTACAAAATTATATTCTAACCAAACATGGCTTTGATTAATGTTGTGCAAACAATTTTTAAAACAAAACTAGTACTGTGTTACCAATGTTATTCTTCTGAGACAAGATAAATGTTTTTACCAAACAGCACTCAATTAAAGGTTTGAATTTACCACTTAAAAATATGTCAAAATTACAATTTCAAGAATTCAATCCAATGAACCATAAACAGTTATTATACTGATCAAACACAACATTACTTAAAACGAGAACATTTTACTTGATCTGCTTAACGGTAGATTACAAGTGTTGTTCACATTATCTTTTACTACGAGTACAGTATTTTTACCTGCATTGTTCCTATGTAGTATTGAAAAGCAGTGATTCTCATTCCTGTAACAATGAAGTCTGACAAATGGTAAGGGTAAAGCATCAAGTGTTCACGACTGTAACGAAGAAGCTCTTCATAATAGCCTTTCTCATTCCTCTTGACATGTCGAACTGTTTAGACAAATTATATATAACTATAGTTAAAATTTTAATTTTATCACAACACGTGACTAAAAGTTATACTAACTCCAATTCTACTATCATTATCTTCCCAAAACTTTTAAGCTATGTATATTTAGAAAGTTAGTGTAACAAGAAAAATTTATCGAGGAGTATTAACTCTACACACATGTTTAAGTCTATCATAAGATAGTACTTCTTAAAAACTTGGGAAATTTACTGATATATATATTAGGTTCTACAACACTAACTTGTATATCAAATTCACACATGTCATAACCTGATTTAAATCCTGATTTTTTCATTACACACTTTTATTTAGCCTTCAATTAATATAGTCACTAAATTTCCAACCAATATATATATACATATATATAATGAGTAAACTCAAGTTCTTTGTAGAGCTTCATCCACAGCTAAATATGAGGTCTATCTGTAGTAGTTGAAGGTTGGAAATTAGTTGAATTTGATAATGATTGCCTGACTCATTAATCAACCACATTCAACTAACCAATTATTCTCAAGTAAGACATCGACAGATAATATAACTTAATACAGTAATAATTGAAAATACTAATTTTGATTAGTTAATTATATTCTTGAGTTGTGAAATTAAATGATTAAACTGAACAACCCTGAATTAAAAGAAAATAATGACAAATTATAGTGGCAATATTTTGACTACTTGGATAGTTCAAATAACCTAAAAGTAATAATCAGAAACATTACTTTTTTATAAGTTGATTATTTCTATGATGTTAATCAATTTAATTGTAATTTTGACTAACTTATTAATTGATGCAATCAATATTCATATGTAACCAACTATATTGATTTACCAAGTTACTCGCCCAGTGCTAGAATTAATCATCCCTAATTTTGAAGTGACAGGCTACAAGGAAGGCAACATCACCCACTGCAAATTCTTGGGCTACTCTTGTCAGACTGAAGAGTGGGATTTGACCATCACTCTTATAACACATCTACAACCACAAAGCATGGAGTGCATTTCCTTTATTTTATGGGAAGAAGCATGATACCTCAGGTCCACAGTCTGATACCCTAATCTCTGGGCCCTACACAACCCCAAGTAGATTCAACTGTATTCCTTATCCTCCTAAATTTTAAACTACATGTATATCAGATACATACTCAGATTTCCACGGTAACGAAGTTGGTTCTTCACACTGTACTGTACTACACACTTGTCATACTCTTTTTGAGAATTTCCTAGCAGCTATAAAAAAAAATAAAGAAATTGCTTAGTAAAAAGAAATTTAAACTTATTTATAATTTATTCACTTGTACTAAGTATATAATGATTACAAACATTTAACTTTATCTGTACATTATGCACAAATCTAGACTTTCTTACCGATTATCTAAAATTCATATAAAACTAAAAGATAAAGCTACTTTAGTTAAAGTAGGTACAATAACAGGAATACAGGAAAAAAAGATGTTTTAACCTTTTAGACAAACCATTAATTAATAATATGAACACAAATAAAATAAAAATTTTAAGTATAATTATTGCAAATTACCAGAAAAAAAATGAAATAAATACATTCTAATTATTTAATCATTTTAAGTAACTTTGGCAACTAAACCATAACACGATTTAATGTTAAATTAATTCATTATTAAAAGATTTGGTATTGTTAATTATGTCACATGCCTTTGAAAATGATATATTTTTACACGTTGAAACGATAGGCTTAAAGAGTTTCAATTCTGACTTTACTGCACCACAGAGTAATTACTACTGCTAGAATAGAACTTAGAATTAGATCCTTTTCTGTTTCTCTGAATCTTTACGAAGAACTCAGTGTCCTTTCTAAGTTAAGTTAGTTGTCTAAACGAACAATATTGACTATTAATAACATTAAATTATAATCTCATGACTAGATACTACTATTACTATTACCTCTACTAGTATTATTATTATTTAATAATAATATTAAATTAATAGATACTATACTGTATTATGTATACAGTAACACAGTATTAGTATTACTGAATCATACCTGCCTAACAGTGGACGGTAACTTCGCCCAAGTGCAGTTTTGTCTGATATAATTATCAATATCCGTGCTCATTTTCGTTCAGAAAAACGAATGGCATTCCTCGTCACCCAAAACTTTCCAAACAACAATAATTACAAATAATTTCGACAATAACATGAATAAACAAACACGTAGTCCTGATAATCAACATCTACCTGTACATAAGTGCTCTAACACTCATGAAAATCAAAATGAGTCAAATATACTAATCTAAGAAAATTAATCAATACTAACATATTATGACTTAATTAAATCAAATAGGTTAAAAATATCGTGATTATGTAAATAACAAAAATAATCTATCAGACAGCTAAATCATGTGTGCTGACTCAAAGTAGAAATAAAATATTAAAAGTAATCTTCGGAATGCCAGACATAAACTTTTGTCGAACTAAAACTACTTTTCTGTAAGAGTTGTAAATTTATAGAAGGATGAAGCTTGTCATCATGTGTGATCTGTTAACTTCTATTATTGTAATCTGCATTTGTATTAGTTTAATTTAGAAGGAAATGATCATGACAATGGTGGAATATCAACCTAGAAGTTTAAAAAAGTTAAGGTCTCTGAAAGGATCTAGAAATACGTCGATACAAGAGTAAGATTTAAGTGCGAGGCCCTGAGAAGTGAATAAGTAATCAGTGATTGCGTAGTCAATGAGTGATACATTTCAGCGATAATAGTGAGAGCTATTGTGTCTATTCTCACGCAAGTACGCAGGGGGGATGCGACGGGGCTCACCAAATCCCTATTTTTGGGATGTAAAGAAATTATGCTTACATAGTTTTAGCGCAGTTGCTTATGGTATTTAACGTTTTCTACATATTCTACATTCTTCTGATGAAGCACTAGCATTTTTGACTTGAACTAGTCTCATGTCTCCAGACCCCCAGTAGTATACGTGTGCTGATTTGCTTCGCGCAATATGTGTTGGCGTTTAATCTCAGAAATTAGACCCCTCCTTTCAAACATTCTGCGTGCGGGCTTGATTTTTTCCTTGATTGATTAGTCAGGAAATTCTGTATATAAACTCATTTGTGAACTAGGAGCACATTAGTATTGCAGTGTTACGTCTCTGGTCGTTAGTTAATTCCCCGTATAATTTCTTTCCGATGAAACTTAAGCGACACAAGTCCTTTCTTAAATAAAA